GCCCTGAGTAGAAAATCCGACCCCTTTATATACCCGATCAGCGTGGGAAAAATCTGGAATTTGTTGACGTCTTTTTGACAGTTCTCCCTGATTTATGACAGTCTCCTGCGCCGTAGAAAAACTTATCTCCTTATTTGGTCATTTTTATCGCCCGGTCGCTCGGACGTATGGGGGTCACGTGACATCGTGGTCCCTCGTCGATGACCTTCGGATGACGAAAGTCACCCTCACTAACTACGCAGTTAGTGAAAAAATAAAAACATCGTTCGTAGTCTCACATATATATTAACTTTATATAAACAAATGTAAATTCAAAATTTTATAAATTTAAATAATCCAATTTAATGATACATTTTTCATATTTAGATTATTACAAGATCATAATAATTCAAGTGGATTGCATAATCAGATGTTGGAATCTGTAAAAGAGAAATTGCAAGAAACTGAAATGGCTCTTCAACGTGAAAAGGATGCTTATAAATTAGCTCAGGTATTATTTTATTACAATTTAGTTTATTGTACTGTACATTTTAATTTACATAATGTTAATTGATAATTAAATATATAGAGAAATTTTTGAATTCAATTAGGTTTAATGTATCAAAATATATTTTTATATGTTAGGCTGAAAATATGCATAGAATAAGTCAGTTGGAGGATGAAAAACAAAAACTTGCAGAAAGTTTGACTGCAACACAAAAAATGATGGCAGAAGAAAAAGGTTGTATCAAATTAAATGTACATCTATGAATAATATGTGGAGGAATAAGACAGAAAAAATATATATATTTTTTTTTTAAATATGATTTTTTGTTTTTATTTATTTATTTGATAAATTAATTGAACAATAACTGTTTATTTAAGTTTATTTTATAATTTAGTAGAATAAAATAAATTTTTAAATACATTTTTACTTGTTATGCTTTTTGGATTTAATTTAATATGATTAATTGCAAAAATATTAAAAAATAAAATCTGTAAATCACACTTAATAAGTTATTATGATGATTTTCTTGTTTATAAAATCATCATTATAGTTTGTTTTATTTGTGTATTAAAAAAAGAGATGATAAATTAATATTTCCCATCTTTTTTTAAATATGGGAAATATTAATTATAATCATTTAATCATTATAATTATTACAATTTCTTATTTCATTATTATATCTAAGTTTTGAATGTTTGATTTTTAATTTATAAAATTAAGAAATAAGAAGTTACCCAATACCTCTGTTTATTTTTATTTATTTATTTTTATCAACACTAATGTTTTCAACCTTATTTAAATGTCTTCACTCTAACAGAACCTTTAATGCAGATCTTTAAATACTTTCAGATGACTTTTAAATAAAGTTGAAATGTTAGAGTTGATAAAAATAAATTAATAGGGTAAAAGTGTTGTGTAATTTTTATAACTATAGATCCAGTTATTTTAAATAAGAAATAAGTTTTATTAAAAAAGAAAATGCAGTCAAATCTTGGTTTTCAAACAATTCATTCTTAAATATAGAGTAGAGCGTCATTTATCCGAATCAATTGGGGACTGGGGTTGTTCGAATAACTTATTTTTTGGATAACCGATTATGTATGAAAAAATATAGTAATTTATCCCATGTTGAAATTTTTCTCCGTTGCGTGTCACTTCGCGTTGACTTTTCGTCGATGTTAAGCCTAACGTAAACTTTTTAAAATAATAATCATGGCTATTGTATTGTTAAAAATTATTTCTTTATTTTTCACAAACAAAATAAATATATTGAAAAATATAAAAACAAAAAAATTATACTTTAGAAGTTAATCTAGTATCAAAAACGTTCGATTCAGCACAACACAGTCCTCAGAAAAACACCACACAAAAGTGCCAGAGCTGCCAGCTAAAACACACACATCAACAAAAAAAAATATTGGAGTAGCCCAAGATATAGCCAAAGATTGCAGCGCCACAGCACTAGCAAAAATTTAAATTTGCCAACTGGAATTCTTTCGGATAACCGACTTTTGGATAAACGCGCTCTACTGTATAGGAAGTTGACAGTCTGTGTGTCTAATCTGTGGCTGGCTCTTGTCAAGTGGCTTCTTTGACAACCAAATTATTGTATGGCAACTGGGGTAATTATAAGTTTGAAATTCTGTTTGTGAACTGAATGTTTGAAAAATGAGGCATTCAAAACCTGAGGCTTGACTATATTAATTATTGCTGGAGAATTATTTGATAGTTAAGTTTTCAGCAAAATTTTGAGTTTTTGGTTTTGAGTTCAGAATAAGTTCAAAGAATTAGTAACTTAATCTAATTTCTTTTTTATATCTGAAAAGTACATTGACAAGCATCATATTTATTATTTAAACAGCTCATTTATATTATTATTAAAATTATTTATTTGTATAAAATTTTTATTAATCTGTAGCTCATAATAAAGAATTATCAAGTCAATACAAATTTGCTTCTTTGAATCTGGAAACATTAAAAAGAGAATTTTCTGATTATAAACAGAAAGCTCAACGCATTTTACAGGTATTTAGTTGCTAATTTATGTACAATACATAGATAGATTTATTAAAATTTTTTGATATTTAATTTAACATCATTTTCATGATAAATATGATCTGTAAAATACAAAAGTAAAATATTATTTAAATCAGATTTTTTAAAACATTGAATGTTACTGATGCACTGTATATTAGTTACTTTTTAGTTTTATAATATTGATTACAATATGTTTGTTTCTGTGATCATTATGTACAGTATAAAGAAAAACTAATGATTACATATTCAGAAATTTAACATGATTTTTTAATGAATTATTAAATTATTACATTTAATTATAAATAATAGTTTTTGAAGTTTTGTACTATTTATTTAAAATATAGACAATATTATCTTTCTGCTACATTTACTAAATATTATATAATTAAAAATGAGTTAGAAGGTTAATACTACTAAGATTAATGGTTTAAGTAGTATATTTCATAGAAAATTAAAACAACATAATATTTATATTAAGGTTGTGTATTATTGATATTTTAAAATTCACATACAGTAGAAACTCATCTTAACATTTTTCAATGAATTGGTGAAAAATATATTAAATCACAGGTTATGTAAAATCTGAATATTATTAAAGGCATGCAGATTGTACAAATACATGTGTATCTACATTTCAAATGAATAAAGAAGAAAAAACACATATATTACCAATACTCTTGAAAGCCTTTATTTCATACAATATACAGTAATGTACAATAATTGGTGCCTCTATACATGTTTTATACATATTTAATAAACTGTTAAGCTGTCTTTTGAATGTAATCAAGGATACTTGTTTATTTCCTGAGGATATGCTGTCTTCTTCACTGCAGTTTCTAAGTTTGAAACATAACGAAACACATTTTTATCAATATCATCAGCATCATTTGTGCATTTTGCACTTGTTGCCATAATGTCTGGGTTTGTATTAATAGTTGTACAGGAATACTGTATCTGAACTGCAAAATCTATAGTGAACTTTGAAAACTAACATTATATCACTTTACCTGTTATGCTAATCTCTGAGACCAGCAAGGGCAGCTAAGCTAAGATGACAAAACTACGGAATGACATGTCCTCTCACTGTCACAAAATGGTAATTTGTTGAATTTTAATCCATCTGAACATGAAATACAATACATTTCTTTTTAAAAAAAATGTTATTTGAGGTGAAAAATTGAAAGATGCTAAACATGGTAACACTAACATTGTGGTTTATGAAGATTTGAAGGGACCAGTGAATAAATATGTTAAATCAGAGAATATTAAATTGAGTTTCTACTGTACTTAGTTTTTTAAAATAGAAATATTATATGCCAACTCAAGTTTTAATAAACAATATGCAGTATAGTTTTAATAATGGTTACAAAATGTTTACAATTTCACTAATTCTAAAATTAATACATAAAGAAATTTAAATTTTGTAAGAAAACACTTTTTTAATGAATTATTTAAACAAATGGGTGGAGTGAAAGGCTCTTGGCTATTTGTCAGTGAAAAAGACTTTAGTAAGATTAAACATATTATTTGACGAATTTATTTGATTTGCCATATAACTAAATAGCCTAATATATAAACAAGATAAAATTTAAATTTCTTATTAATTAAATTGATATGAAATGAAAGTAAATAATTAAAATTTTTGAATTCAAATAAACAAAAAATTCATAATATAACATATTAGATTTATTAAATGTGTTTATGTTGCAGTTCTTTTGTTTTAATAGAATTTTGTTTTTATTGTAATAGGAAATAATAAGTTTACAAATATTTAAATTAGTAAAACAGTAATATAAGCATCCTAAAGAGTAACTAGTAGCATAACATTTTTGTCTATTTTGTCAACAATGTAATATTATTTCACAGTCTCTGTGGTTTTATAGATAATATATCAATAGAAACAATATTGAAAGTTTGTCTTACAAATATTACAGAGGTTGCAGCCATTGTATTCAGCCCAAAACATGAACAGCGGACCATTGAGTGCCGGCATCTGGCAATTCTGGATGGTCGATAATGGTGTTCGCTACGTCTAGCATGGCGAATAGACGATCGGCTTAAACTTCTTCATTTTTTTGTGTTTGTGATTAAAATTATGACCTATTTTATTAAAATAATTATTATTTAAGCAGTTATGAATAATAATGTAAAGAAACAGACGATTTTAATCCAAAAATTATTTAATTATTCAATTTTTTAGCAAGTGATGTAGAATTTACATATATTTGCCTTCATAATAGTTCATCTTAAAGTAGGCATCTTCTACCATCAACAGTGTAATACATTTGTAAATTTTCTAAAAATTAATTTTTCAAGCTGCTTTTGGATTTACATAAGCCACTACTTCCCTTGACAGAAGTATGAGGTAGTCCCATCATCCAATCAAATGGTAGGAGACATCACGCTAATTAAAAATAATTATTTAGTGTTATTAAACATCCTATAAATACTTTAAAATAGTTTAATTTATTTATTACCATCACTGGTAACTCTCAATGTTAAATGTATCCGCCATTTATTCAACAAATTTCCTGTGAGTCAATGCGCAACATTCACTGAGTCATGTGATGTTGTGAACGATTCTTTCTTGGAGTTAACACATAAACAGTGTACTTCTGCTTGCCATGTACAAGTAACATTTGAACTTCAGCTGCAACCTCTCTATTATGATTGTTTCATAATAACTTGAACAAAGCTTATTTATATATTACAGACTACAATATTAGTATATTTAATTATTATAATAGTACATAATAATATAATGAATGTTACTATTAAAGATTATATTTTTGAATGCTCCTTATTTATATTTAAGATAACAATAATACTTTTTACTTTGTTGTTAAAATGTGATTATATAATATAAAAATTTATATTTCTTTTAGTCAAAAGAAAAAGTGATTTCTAGTTTAAAAGATTCTCAGCTGATGTATCGAGAACCTGGTGATGGTTCTGAAACTATAATTGATTCTCCAGCATTAAATGTTGAATTAGAAGAATTGAGACAGGAATGTGAAACTCTTAGGGAGGAATTGCAACGAGCTAATAAGAATGCAGAAAATTTTCAGTCAGAATTACAAGAAACTGAAAGAATAGCTCAAAATGATATAAATGAGTATCAAGACCAATTAAAAAACATGGAAGAACAGTTTGTGCAAGAACAGCAGCAGAGATTATCTCTAGAACAAGAATGTTTACAACAAAAAGAGGTATGTACGTGTGTTCCTCTCTTTTGATTTACTCTTATAAATATATATAAAAATGGGTATCAAAAGTCCCTTGCACCCTTCTCATTTCAAAAGTATTGAAGATATATTAATTTTGATAATATAATTGCATAGGAAATTATGCATGGAGAATCAGATGGGAACTTTTTATTGACTTTCAAAATGATTTTCAAAGTCACTTATGTTGTAACTTTTTAATGAGCAGAAGTAATGTAAAAATTCCAATGATGAATATGTCCTTAGTTGTTGGGATTACTTAATTGAAATATCAATTAGATTATTCTTGAAAATGCCATAATCCTGTGTCTACAGGTGTGTAAGGATCCTTCCAGTAATTCAATGATCCAAAATGTAGGATTTAATTATATTTAGTTTGGTTGATTACATACATTAATAAATGCATTTTTAATGTATCTCAATAACTGGGTTTTGTATAAATATATCACTCATAAAACCAACACTAGCATATAACAAGAAAAAGAAAAATTTACAAACGTTTTCGTCTATGTGAAATAGACATCCTCAGGTATATACGATATCGATTAAACAGCTAACCAGAAATAGAATGTTTTTGAAAGTTTGAACAGATTATGTGATTTGAATACATTACATTAAAATTTATATGTTCAGGATACAATTTCAAAATATGTATATTATTTAAATAATAAACAAATAAATAATTAATTAATTTCACATTATTTATACTATGATCTAAATAAAATACTTTCTTACTGGAACTACACTATAAATAAAATCAAAACCTTTAAATAATCCAGCAAATCGTTTTTAATATGTTAAAAACGCTTTCGAACGCTTTAAGCAATCATCCTCAGTTATCATTTTGAATCGAATTATTAGATTCAAAATGATTAAATTTTTGTTACTGTGAGTTTATGTCAGCGGAATATACTTCAAAAATGGCACACCATGCTGTGGATAGCATGTCCATTTCCTTGAAATTAATAGCAACTCCCTGTTTAATTGCATGATAGATCTCAAGTGTCTTAAAGTATTTGAGTTGTGCTTTATCTGACACTCTGTGTACCAATTTTGCATTCTGTAGTTTAACTCGGACTTCCTCACTACCGACGTATGTCACTAATGCCGTGATTGTCAGCTTTTTTCTTATGGAATATTCATGTTCCTTCATCCTCATGGCGAGATCTCTTGCAGTCACTCCAATGTATATTAATGAGTGGTTAACTCAGTCATCGTAAAGAGGTATGGCATAAACCCCTGGAGAGTATGCATCATATATATGGTTTTTATCATTTCTTATAAGAGAGAGGATTGTGGGAGAGTGTCAATATGCTATGTGTGCTTTAGTGGTCCTGTCTATATATATATATATTAGAAAGTGTTTTGTTGTATGTGATAACTCTTATTCGTTCTTCTTGTAGAATAGTTCTGTTCCCCTTATTTGTATATTGTTTTATAAGATGTTTGACTAAAGAGGACGAGTATCCATGTTGTGTTGTGTTACCATGACCTTGATCCAAGATAATTTTTTTTTCATTTTGCTCCGAACAATGTGTGTGTGCCCTTTTTACTAGAGGTCGAAAAGCGGAGACTTTGTAACAATAAGGGTCATGTGAATGGTTAGGTACAAATACAAGTGTATATAACTCCTTATGGAAAACACAGGTTGACAGATGGCAGGTTGACAACATCAATTCATATTGATGTTGATATCCAAAAAATGTACCGTCGTATGACTCTCTTATTCAACTTTTAACGACAGGCCAAAGGGGTTATCATTGAAATACCTAATTACTGAGTCCAGGTTAGGTATCTTGTTCCATACTATGAGAATGTCATCAATGTATCTGATATACAATGCTATGTCCTCATGAAATTTAGGTAATATGGCATTCTCTTGTTTTTTTTACCACTAATTCACACAGCATTCCTGATATTGGGCTATCCACAGGAACACATAGGAATAATAAAAATTACACAGATATATGCTGCAGCAGAATGAGTAATGATATGTACAATAATGTGCACAGAGCAAATGAAGATAGTGCCTGATGACAGACATGACCAACTTAATGAATGACAGAGCATACGTGATACTTATGAATCAATTTTTTGAATGCTTTATATGTGTCACTATCTTTAATAAGAACATGAAGTTTACAAGGCCAATTATTACCCCTCTGGCTAAGAGCAAGGGCAAGCTTATACCTAGCATCCTCGATCATTTGACACATGTATGTGTAGTGCTCAACTCCATCACGGCAATTACAGATGGTACAGATGTCCGTTGCAGATTTGCCAAACCTCTGCAAGTAGGCCCCAAATCTCCCATACCCAGTGAAGAATTGGGTGGTTTCAAAGTCCGGACTAACCCAGTGGTGAAAAAGGTGGTCATGAATAGATGGAAAAAGTTCCTGGCAAGGCCATTGTAGCTATCCCATCTCTGCTGCCAGAGATCCAAGCTGTAGTTCCAATATTGGAGCTTAAGAAAAGAGGCAGGTAGCACTGAATACTTGAAAGGGCCAGAGGTACTGATTGTTGCAGCTTCCCTGGCAAGTAGATCTGCATGTTCATTACCTAGGATACCCTGATGATCTCTCACCCATTCATGGGAATAGAAGTTCTGAGCACAAGGTATATAGTTTAGAACCTTCCTAACCAAGGGTGAAGGTTGTTGGGATTGCTGAAGCACTATCAGAGCAAATGGTAACTCTACTTCCAGTAAGATTGGCTTCACACCATTGAACAGCCATGTAAATGGCACAGAGTTCTGCCTGGAATATAGAGCAGTCAGGATGAAGAATGCCAGAGTTCTGATATATTTCCTCCTCATTGGCAAAAACGATGAAGGCCGAGCCCGTGCCCTCTGCATTCTTTGATTCATCTGTGAAGATTATATAATCAGCAGCAACTGTAAAGGATGTGTCAAACCCACACCTCACTGCTGTATGACGGAGGTGGTTAAATGGGATATCTGTCTCATAGGTGCCTTCAGCATGGGAGGTAGAGTTCATATATTGTATTCTGAACATATAAATTTTAACATAATGTATTTGAATCACATAATCAGTTCAAACTTTTAAAAAACATTCTATTTTTGGTTAGCTGTTTGTTTGATATTTTATATACCTGAGGATGTCTATTTCACATAGACGAAAATGTTTGTAAATGTTTCTTTTTTCTTGTTATGTGCTGGTGTTGGTTTTACGAGTGATATATTTAAATGCATTTTTGGCTGACTTACACTTTACAGTCCCTCATAATAACTAAAATTATTAAGAGATAGGTATAAGTACAAAATTAATTAAAAAATAAATAATAATAATAATAATGGACATAATAGTAATCTCTTACTTTGTATTAAATCAACCATCTCCTTAAATATGAACATACAAGAACATAATTTGAAATATTTTCACAATAAGATTGGTACAAAAATTAAAAAGGAAAAAACGGATAATGCAGATATCGTTTACAGTTTATAATTACAATGCCAACTTTCATATTATTATATAGGAGAGACAAGCAGAACCCTAGGTAAAAGATCAAAAGATGATGATGCCACTATACACCTAAAAACATAATCAATAACCATGGTATCTTCACACAGAACAGACAGGTTGCACAATAGATAAAAATCAGATTAAAATTTTACATCATGAAAATGACATATACAGTCGACCCCCCTATAAGATAGAGATACGTTCCAATTTATTAGGAATCCGATTTCTTACAAGTCGTTCCAATCACAGCCCGACACGTGTCAAGTTTCGGACTACGGCTGATTGAAAGGTTTTCTTCCATAAAATTAATCGATTCTACACTAATCCGACTCAACATTTCCAAAATACGTATATTTTTTCGTAGTTTTATAGGAATCGTAATTATAGGGGGGTCGACTGTACAAAAGAAAATTTAAAGAACACATAGCAATCAAAAAGTTTATGTAAAGGAATCTGTTAAACATGTGTGAAGGAATACAAATCACTAAGAAGTGGTATAACATTATCTCTGGATTGGGGGTAGTTCAGGGAACCACAAGGTGGGTTATACTTTAGAGCAACATGAAGTTTAAAGACTAACAGCCTATTATGATAGCATATATGAAAATTCTGTATATATATTAATTATTCACAATGGAAAGAATTCTGTTTTCTACAGTTATTGATTAAAAATAAAACAAATAAACATTTTGTTTGTTTTATTTTTAATCAAAAACTTCTAAGCCAAATATTTAGATTAAACAATTAACATATCTATTGTCTGTTTTATCAACAAACAATGTATTGGTTTTGGCAAAATTTTCAAAATTAAGTTTCAACAGCATATATATCAGATAACACATATAATAATTTTCAGGTTTTGTAGTTTGAAAAATTTTTTAATTTTAATTAGTTAAGTTATATCATTGTTTTTAAATAACTATGTAAATGATACAAGTAAATTAATGTTTACTTTTTATTAAAAATTAATTGCAAAAGTAAATTAATAAAATTCTTAAATATATTAATTAAAGTAGCAACAGAATATATTAATAAATATAGATTTCCTATGTGCCTGGAAAGTCAATTAGTGTTTGGAAAAAGTCATGGAAAGTCAAAAAATTTGTCAAAAAGTCAGGGAATTTGGCTTCTTGGCTGCCTTGTTGATTTTTTTGCCGACAATATGCTTGATTAACTGTAGCCATCTGCAGGCAGCAAGAAGTAATGTGGTGAATTTGAAAAGGACTTATGAAAAGGAGTGCAGAATATTTTCAGGACTCAAAATTTCTCCCAGGCATGCATATAAATTTTCCCAAAAATTTACAAAGTATAATAAATGATAAATAATTTTAATTTAAATTTAATTTAAAGGTATTATTTTTTATTTTAATAATTTTGATTGTATAACAAAACAATTTGTGATTTTTTTTCCAGTTTATTAATATTTTATAAAGTTTAAGAAATTTATTAAGAGATAAATTTAATAAATATATACTTTTGTAGATGGATTATACAGTATTTGTTAATGAATAATAAACAAACAATTGCTTTTTTCTTTTTTCAAAGCCATGCAGATTTATGGTTGTGGATTAATAACAGAATAAACTACTTTAATTTAATAAAACATTTTATTTTTAGTTTTAATAATTGGCAATTATAAAAAAAAAATATAACTGTTAATTAGAAAAAATAACTAATTAAAAAGTTAGAGAAGCAATGGCATATGTTCATAGTAAGTCAAATGCTGTTTTATTTTGTTAATGTGCTGTATTGTAAGGGATATGAGGGTCAGACAATTTGTACAAAGTTGATAAGGGGAAGGAAGTCAGGGAAAGTCATGGAATTTAAAACAAAAATTTGAGAATTTGAGTAGGAACCCTGTAAATAATATTTTTACTGATGTTTGAAAAAGTATTATTTAAAAGACTTAAAAAGTATATATTATAGAAATACTTTGATACTTCAAATAGAACATTGCATTTTTAAAAATAATCCCAATTATAGTATGGAATTTAAAATAAATAAATGTGCTTTTTATCTTTTATTTTTAGCTTTGCTACATAATTGATATAATTATAAACAGTGTATATAAAGTTAAGATTTTGAGGAAGAAACAAGAAATTTTAATCTGAAACTGAAACCTAATGAAAATTCTAACTTAAAATTAATACTGTTTTAAGAGTTATTTTGAATATTTTTAGTTTCTGTACTTTTTATTATTTTTTTTATTGCTTATTTATTATTATTATATTTATTTTTATTTATTGGTTCTATTCTATATTATTATTACTTTTTATTTTTATTTGTTAATAGAAATGTAAAATTTAAATGTTATTAAAGTATGTTTTAAGAGTTGTAATAATAACTGTACAATTACTTAATTATTATTTCAGTTTCAATATTTAGTATATTAATAGCAGATTAAAATCATTAATCTTAAAATAACTGAATCATTTTATTATGAAGAAGTATTATATGTGCTTTTTTTTTATAAAGGAAATAAAATATATCCAAGAAGATTTAACCAGGACAAAAACTAATTTGCAATCTCGAATTCAAGATCGAGAAACTGAAATAGAAAAGCTTCGAAAACAGGTAAAGAAGAATCCTAAGCCTGAATCATAAGCAATTTAATTGTTTTTTTTTTTTACATTTATCATTCTGATATAAATTAATATTATATTTTAAAATTAAATACTGATTTTAACAATCACTTATGTATTATAATAATAATAATTGTATTTTGTAAAGAATATAATTTATTAATGTGTTTTTATGAATTATAGCAATTTGAATATATTATTACTTTATTTTGACATTTTTATAATTTTTTTTATTGAATGTTTAACAAGGAGAGCCTACGGCTTTGGGGTAACGGATTTTGATGATCTTTGTTGTAGAGGTAGTACACCATGTGAGTGTACTACCTGTAAAATACTAAAGTGCAATACTCAAATATAATCGAGAAAATCGAACTTAAAGTTTTGTTAGCACTTTATATATAAATTATACGTATTTCTATTCGAGCGTCCTGTGGCAGAGTGGTAACGAGTCTGATTCATAAGCTTGAGTTCTCGGGTTCGATTCTCGCGTATAATTTTTTTTTTAATTCATAAATACTTATAATGTATTTATTTATTTACTCATTCATTTATTTCTTATTATTTATTTATTTTAATTTAATTTCTACTATTCCAAGTCTAATATTTTTATACTTTTGTTGACAATAACGGCGCATTCTTGACACCTATGTGTCAACTTTCCCATCTAATTGTTATCACTAACGGTGACCGATCTAATTCTCACTAGGAGCGTTTTTTCTATCGGAGTTCTTTTTCACTCACTCTTTAACAGTTCGTTTCTAAATTTCGACACGAATAGACGTATTTGTGTAGTAAAACTTATTTTGAAAAATTATTTTATAATCGAAAAATGTCGTCAAGAGAAGCAAGTTCTTCACGTTGTGACGAAAAAACTGTTGATGATACCTTTTAAAAAAGCAGCATTTATTTGTTGTTCTTGGTGTAGACAGAATTTTTGTTTTGAATGTTTTTATCATAAGTATCATTCACGATCATGTACATCTGACAATGATATGTAATTATATAATATTGCTTCAATAAATTATATTCGTTTTTCTTGGTTATATTTGAGTTTTGCACTTTACAAGTTAGTATTTTACATCACTGTATAAAGAGTTATCATCAACAGTTTTTTCGTCACAACGTGAAGAACTTGCTTCTCTTGACGACATTTTTTGATTATAAAATAATTTTTCAAAATAAGTTTTACTACACAAATACGTCTATTCGTGTCGAAATTTAGAAACGAACTGTTAAAGAGTGAGTGAAAAAGAACTCCGATAGAAAAAACGCTCCTAGTGAGAATTAGATCGGTCACCGTTAGTGATAACAATTAGATGGGAAAGTTGACACATAGGTGTCAAGAATGCGCCGTTATTGTCAACAAAAGTATAAAAATATTAGACTTGGAATAGTAGAAATTAAATTAAAATAAATAAATAATAAGAAATAAATGAATGAGTAAATAAATAAATACATTATAAGTATTTATGAATTTAAAAAAAAAATTATACGCGAGAATCGAACCCGAGAACTAAAGCTTATGAATCAGACTCGTTACCACTCTGCCACAACACGCTCGAATAGAAATGCGTATAATTTATATATAAAGTGCTAACAAAACTTTAAGTTCGATTTTCTGGATTATATTTGAGTATTGCACTTTAGTATTTTACAGGTAGTACACTCACATCGTGTACTACCTCTACACCAAAGATCATCAAAATTCGTTACCCCAAAGCCGTAGGCTCTCCTTGTAAGATTAAAGATATAACATTGAAATAATTCTAAAGTTGAATTTTTTCCTAAAATCTATTCAAAGAACATTTATTTGCAAAACTCAATATTTCTGTATTTGATATTAGATGTAAAATTGTATTTTGTAACATTGAAATATGTAGATGTAGTACATTATTTTAAATATTTGGAAAAGATGTTAATACTTATCTCTTATTTTGTTGAAAATTTTTTCATTTGTAATAATTGAAGAAATATTAGTAAAAGTTTAAGATGTCTTTTATAAATTGAGATGTCATATTTGATTAAAATATTTTCATATTTAATATTAACCTTTTTTATTTTTTATACATTTGCTCAAAAGATCAAAATTTGCAGATTTACTTTTTAATCATGCCATTTTTGAATTTTTAAAATCAAAGTAGTAATTAAAAATGGTTAATTTTATCATTATTATTATAGTTGACAGCAAAATCTCTCAGTGTCTCCAGTCAATCAGAATTAGAAACACGACTTCATGCATTAACGGAAAGTTTGATTCAAAAACAAACAGTAGTTGAAGCATTGAGTACAGAAAAAAATTCATTAGTGCTCCAATTGGAACGATTAGAGGTAAAAACTTAATTTTACTTTTATATTTTTATTAAAATAATTCAATTTGAACAAATATTTCTTTTACTGTCAGAAGTTATAATTGAAAAGGTTCATTTTAAATGTTCTAATGTGAAAAACTTAGTTTATTGAATTAATTGCATTTTTAAATAATTACAGAATATGCTTATTGCTATCATTGTATAATAATATATATTTCATTTCATACAATAATTTGAATAAATACTAAATGGAAAAAATTCAAAATATCATAATTGATGTTGTTCTAACTATTAAACTATTTTTATAAGTTATTAAGTTAGATATGTTTTCTAATATATCTTTACTATTTACGTTTTATTGAATAAATAGTAATTACATGTTAATAATACCTAGATTAACCAGAACATATTATTTAACTAACTTGTTATTTAATCTTTCTATTAAAGATAATTAGTTTGTTTAAAAATAACAGTACAGTCAACCCCCCTCTATAACATGGTAGATATGTTCCGTTTTTTATGAAATTGATGTTTTAGGAGACTTTGCCAATCACAGCCCGACATGTGTGAAGTTTACGGACTACGGCTGTTTGAAAGGTTTTCTTCCATAAAATTAATCGATTCTAGACTAATTTGACTCAACATTTCCAAAACACGTATAATTTTTTGGGAATAATCCGTATAAACTATGCTATAAACAAAAAATTGTAGGATTACTTACCGAGTGTGCACCGTTCGACGTCGCCATTGTTTAAGCTTGTTTTTGTCATGGAGCAGCGCACCAAACAGTGGCCGCGATTTCTGATAAGTTATTTTTCTGCAAAAACTTCATTGAACTTTGGAGACATCATTAATAGAAATAATTTTTATGGCCATTGAATAAGAAATGTTTCTTTCACAAGAAATGTATAAAATTAGTGCTGTATTAGACTTACGGTATTTACATACTAATTTACATACTGTACAGACAGACGATAGTAAACTCAACTTACTCCCTAAACTCTCCGTAGCATGGCGCTGGACGGCGGAAAGTATATATATAATTATAATAAAGTTACAATAAATTAAGTTAATATATAATTATATATACAGTACCTAATTTATATATAATTAATATATAATTATATGTACAGTACCTAATTTATATATAATACTGTACAGATGATAGTAAACTCAATTTACCCGCCTAAACTCTCCGTAGCGTGGCGCTGGACGGCAGAAAGTAGTTCGGCTGCTGGATGACGTTTTACTGAATTATAGGAGTTTTTTTACCATGTTTGTATGGATACCATCGCAATTTTTTCGCCGTCATATAGGAATCCGAACTATAGGAACCTGTGTTATAGGGGGGTCGACTGTATTATTGATTTTTTCTGTTTAATATTCATTGTCAACTATCTTATTTAATTTGTTAATGTAAAGTTTTATATGTAGTAATGTATATGATGTTGGAAAAAATGTTTTTGATGTATTACTATTACAGTAGAGTGTTGATTATTCGAAAGTCAATTATGCGAAACGTCAATTATCCGAAAGAATTCCAGTCGGCAAATTTAAATTTTCGCCAGTGCTGTGGCGCTGCAATCTTTGGCTATGTCTTGGACTACTCAAATATTTTACGTTTTTGATACTAAATTAACTTCTGAAGTATAATTTTTTATTGTTTTTATATTTTTCAATATATTTATTTTGTTTGTACAAAATAAAAAAATTATTTTTAACGATACAATAGTCTTTGTTAGGCTTAACATCGACAAAAATTCAATGTGAAGCGACACGCAACAGAGAAAAATTCCAACATGGGATAGGTTAATATATTTTTTCGTACATAATCGGTTATCTGAAATATCGATTTACCGAATAATCCCAGTCCCCAATTGATTCGGATAATCGACGCTCTACTGTATAATGTTAAACTTTTAAAGGATTTCAAGGTCATGTTCAATCTAGACAGAAGAATTTGAATAAAATGAATGGCAATTAATTACATGAATATGCTTTTTAGATTTTTTAAAAATTAAAACAAGTATTTTTTTTTTATCTAAAAACTTTCAACACAGAATATTTCAATGTTTAATTAAAACTACTATATTTGTTTAGATTTACATAATTATAACATTACTAGCTACTAATATACTAGTTTCAAATATACTGTAGTCCATGCAATAAAAGAGTAGACACAAAGCCTGAGCTGGAAGGATCTATTCATGTGAAAGGGATGGAAGGAGATGGGAGATGTGTGGAACTTGATACATAGATCACAGTAATAAAATTTGTAAAACAAAAAGTAAAACGAAAAATGATTTATTTCAAATTATTTCAAAAATGTAAAAAAAGAAAACAGCCAAAAGAGATAAAATCCATCTGTCAACTTCCACATATATCCTTCCATCCCTTTTATCTTACATAGACCCTTCAAGCTCATGTCTACTCATTCACTGCATGGACTATAGTTATATTTAATTAACATATAATTTTTTAAAACATTTTAACAAAAAATAAATGAGTATTTTGTGTGCTGTCCTCTTTGATTTATGATACAAAGAAATTTTTACATACTAAAATTTACACATGTTAAGATTACAAATGAAATTATAGATATAGGTATTTTGTATATTATTTTTACCACAAAAAACTGTTATTAGAATAATATTTTGGCTATTGTTTTTAAGTAAGAAACAAGAAAGGAAAATGAAGTAAACAAGAATTAAGTATTTGAAATGTTGTTATTGATATAATAAAGAAACTAGGAATTGAGTGTTAGAAAAGGAAATAGAGATTATAAGAAAATGGGTAATGGAAACAAAGTGAAAAAGTGAACTTCATTTACAATAACTTAATAAAATTAATTGTAATATATACAATTAGCTTTAATTTACAAAAAAATTTTCCAGTATTTATTGCAAATGATGTTCATTATTTTATATTTTTTATTTATTTTCTTGTAATCTGTAACTTACTTTTGTGTTCGCATTGTTTTTTTCTACAGCCAAGTGTCAGAAATCTTGCATTGTTAGTCACCTATGTATCCATTAAAAGTTTTTACCCTTGCAGTAGCTTTCCTATAAATATTCATTATCAGATTCAAAAAATTTCTGTGCAATATCTGTTTTCTAAACACAAATCACAACTTAGAATGTTTTATGCTATCAAATATGGCTTTAAAGTTGACAAGCATTGCATGTAATTTTCTTCTTTTTTCCTAAGCTCTTTGTAAATTAACCCATTTAAAATATTTGGCCTAAACATGAAAATCCCTCTCTAAAACCTGCTTGTTTTTGATTAATGTTTTCATTTCAGTAACATAGACAATTAAATGAAAATTCAAAATAGCTGTAAATAATTTACTAATTATTGGAACTAGTGAATTGGGCAAAATTTTTTGAGTTGGTCAGAAACAACTTCTCTTTGAATGAGTAATATCAGTGTTTCATTCCAGCTATTTGGAAAATTTGTAGTTCTTTTAATTTTATTAAACAGATCTAAAATCTTTAACAGAAATTGATCAGATGTACATTTAATATATTTTACTCTAATCTGATCTATACCAGGTGTGTTATCTATACCAGATTTAAATTAAAAGTACTGTACTACTACATTTCTTAATCCTTCAAAAACAAAATCAAAGTAAAAGATTTCATTACAGAATGTATATTTAACATTTTTAACAACTTGAATGACAACCCATGTGAGCTCACATCCAAATCAAATTTTCTAGAATAATATAAGAACCAATCAACTTTCTGAAGAAAAAAAAAATAATTTTTTTTAGGAAAAAAGAATTATTTTTTCCCCAAATTTTTTTCTAACAATAGACTAAAATATTTTACAATTTCTATAGTTTAGTACAGTTAATAGACCAAAAGTTCTACAGTTAATAAGTTGTTTATTCAAATTTTGAAAATAATCATTTTTATTTTTTACAAGAAAGATATTTATACAGAATTGTTTTCTATACACAGTTCTATACGGCTATTATCCTTTTTCAGCATGTAATTGAGTGACCTTTTTAACTTTCTTTTTATTAAGCCAAATTCTTTATCATACCAATTATTCAAGATTCTACCAATGTCAGACATTATTCCATTATTTACAAAAATTATACCCAATTGCTTAGCTGTTAAAATAGCCAACAAAATATAAGGAAATAGTGTGATCAGAGGATTCTGATCTATTAATGAGTCTGATAAACTGGTAAATGAATCCTCAACATTGGACATTAACCACCTTGAAATTTGAAGCCCTGAAATGTAAAAACTTCCTTAGCAATCATTTTGGTACTAATTAAATGTATCAAAATCATCTAGTGTTCTGTTAAAATGTCTAAAAAAGTGTGTATTACTTAAGTATTATTTGCATATTCATTAATAATATGAATTTTTTAAATTATAATCTTTTAATTAGATTTTGTTATACTGTGGGGGAAATGTGTGACTGGTTTATTTAAGAAAAACAATTAAAGATTAACTCAGAAATTTTAAACATTTTATTTGGTAGATTTAAATTAACAATTTGTAAATTTAGACTAGAGATTTACATGTCATCTGTTGGAAACATTCAGTTATTAGATAAACATTTGCATATTAATGCAAGTACATTAGCAGTTATGACATCAAATTCCATGTAAAAGCTAATCTAGACCTGTCCATTTAATAATTAATAAAAATTTTCATTAAATAGTGAATTTCTGTTTATAGTTTAAATTTACGACTTAATGTAATTTTAACTTAATTTTATCTGTTACATGAATAATTTTGTTACACAGTCGACCCCCCTATAATTATGGTCCCTATAATTACGATTCCTATAAAACTACGAAAAAATTGTGACCGGTATCCGTAAAAAAACAGTAAAAACCCCCTATAATTACCTCAAACGTCATCGGGCAGCCGAACTACTTTCCCGCCGTCCGGAGCGTCACGCTACAGAGAGATTTCTATTGTCTGGACAGTATTATTAGGTACTGTACATATAATTATATATTAATTATATATAAATTAGGTACTGTATATATAATTATATATTAACTTATTGTAACTTTGTTATAATTAAATATATAATTTCCGCTGTCTAGCGTGGCGCCACGCTACGGAGATTTTTACGCTAACTATCGTCTGTACAGTATGTAAATTAGGTACCGTAAGTCTAATACAGTACTGTAATTTTATACATTTCTTGTGAAAGAAACATTTCTTATTCAACGGCGATTAAAATTATTTCTATTAATGATGTCTCCGAAGTTCAAGGAACTATTTGCAGAAAAATAAGTTATTAGAAATCGGCCGCGGTTTGCTGAGCTGTTCCACGACGAAAACAATGTTGAGCAATGGCAATGTCGAATGGTGACACTCGGTAAGTAATCCTACAATTTTTTATTTATAGCGTAGTTTATACGGATTATTTCCAAAAAAAATATACGTATTTTGGAAATGTTGAGTCGGATTAGTCTAGAATCGATTAATTATATGGAAGAAAACCTTTCAATCAGCCGTAGTCCGTAAACTTGACACGTGTCAGGCTGTGATTGGAAGGACTCGTAAGAAATCGGATTCCTAAAGAATGGAATGTATCTATATCTTATAGGGGGGTCGACTGTAATTTAAGTTTACTGAAATCAATTGTTTTTTGGTCTCTTATAACAAGTCACAACTTTGATATTTTATTTAATATTTGATAAGAATTAGATTGAACAGTTTGTTTTAATAAGAATTCAATATATTAAAATTTTTAAATCCAGCAACAATTGAGAGAACTTCATGATAGTGGATCACGTCGCCAAAACACTGTTGTTGGTATAGGAGCAGCAGAATTATGTAAGTGTGATATATTTTTGTTTTTTTTTCCCGCATGATAAAATTTTACATATCTTAAAAAACAAATATTTAATTACAAACATATTGAATTGAAGATTAATTGATATTATTTTTGCTTGCTTTTTTAACACAATGAATTTATTATATAAAAGTAATATACAATGATTATTTCTGATTAAACCAATTTTATTATTTGAGTTTTCACTCTCTTATCAATTAATCAAAAATAAACTTAACATCAGTGACTGAAAATGAAATGATTGGCATAAAATACATTTTACATAATATAAATCTTGTGAAAGTTTTGCAAAATTAACAAGAAGATAATATACAAAGATTGATTGAAATGTAATTGGCAAAAGAATGATAATAGGAAGAATAAAATGAGTTCACCATGGAGAAGGAATAAATAAATTAAAATATAATAGAAAGTATTTTCTGGTTTAGTCTGCAGTTAAAAGAACAGAAAATTTTCTGGGATAATAATTTATTATGTTTAATTTATTCCAGAATATAATTATAGGATACAGTAAATTTCTGTTTGAAATTTTATTTCAAACAGAAAAATGCATAACATTTAATTTTTAGAGAGTTAAATTTGAAACATAATCTACTAATTATTTTTCAAATTCTAGTAGTAACTATTTTTATATCTTTAAAATTTCATAAAATTTCACACTTTCACTGTTTTTGTGTTTAATCTAAAACTTTTTAAAATAATTTTAATATTTATTGTATTAGGTAAAAATGTGTGGATTCTACTTCCAAAATTATTAAATGAAATCAACATATTTATTATTCCAATATTTTGAAATAAAGTAATTGTTATTTATTTTTGTTTAAATTATAATATAAATACAATAAAATTTTCTTTGTCAGGAGTATATTTTACTATTCTGACCCTACTATGATCCTTACTATTCAAGTTAATACATAATACATTTAATAATAATAATAATTTAATTTGGTTGTACAATATTAATATTATACAATGTTAATAATAAATAAATAATATCGTTATTTATGTAACAGTTATCATTATGTGTTAATTTTACAATCAAATTAACATACTATATTTTACTAAATAATAGTAAATAAATTTGACTGTAATAATATATGTTTTTATATTATTATACTATATGGTAAATGAAATAATAATAATTATAACAATGATGGATTTATTACAGTTCATTTGATATATTTTGTGATATAGTATATTAGTATATAATATAACAGAATTGATTATTATGCTAATTAATTATTAACATTTATATAGAAAATGTCAATTTAAAAAAAAGAAACTGCTTGAGGTGGATCTGTAATTCAGATGATGTGAATGTTGTTTCAGGTTCTTTTTGTGACTGAAGATGATGGAATGAATTTTTAATAATTAGTTGTTTAGCTGATAAGAAACATGAAATTTATACTGATAAAATATTCCTTTTCAGCATATATTTCCTTGTAATTTTATAAAACCTTTAGAATATACAGTAATTTATATGCATCATTTTTTCACAGTGTTAATTGGAAATTTATAAATTGTACTGAAATTAAAATCAATTAAACAATCTTTAATAATAGATTCAAAACTAATATTTTGTTTGGTTAAATAAAGATTTCAAAGAAAAAGAGGGTGAGAGAGAGAGAATACTGTTAAGGAGGTTTCTTACTAGAAAATTGAAATCTAACGATGATAAACTGAAAAGAATAATAAAAAAAAGAAATAAGTATCTTCAAAAGAATCATAGAAAACAAAAACGTTTTTACACTCAATTCAGAATTGGGACAAGAAAAATTTAAGAATTATTGTGCATTTAACAGAAAAGATAAAATAGGTAATGCAGTTATTGCAGTGTATTCACTATATTTTTAAATACAGTTTTTATTAAATTTTTAAAAATTTAAACTTGGAAAATAAATAAATTAATAAGTGTAGAAATGATTATCAATAATTGATTGGAACAATTTGACTGAACCGTGTTCTACACTCAAAAGGACACTAAACTTGTGGCTATCGTAAATTATTTTTAAAAATATGCCTTTAAAAAGTTTTTCAGCTGGTTATAATAAAAGTACTAAATTAATTTAAATAATTCACATTTAAATCAATTACAGTATATACTATTTATTTTTGCAGGAACTATTATAACAGCACTTAAGACTGCATTTGTTTATTTCTGAATGATATTTGCACTGTTTATTGATGCATTATCTCTTACAATTGCAGCTTACAAAGTTCTGTTTACTCTGCCATAAATATGCAAGGTATTTCAAAAAAGTGGGTATTTAGTTATATAGCACTCACCAAATAAACCATCACCAGTTCATAACCAAACAGAAAAATTCTTGCTACTCTGTAGCAGCTAAAAATTGGTTACATAAAATTCTTACTTTGTACATTTTCATCAATGATGATGATAATCCAAATTATTCATTTAGTATCATCTGAATAATGGAGACATTTCAGTTAATTCCTTTTTAATAGTAGGATAGTCTTTATATATCTAAACCATTCAAAAATAGTATCTCTCAATTCATAAGTATTAAATAATTTAATAAGTTTAATTATTTTGCAATTGAAAAAAGTAAAAAATGTAGATTATGAATTTTTTAAACCCTCCATACTTTCTGCTTGTTGTAATTAACATCATCTTAAATAAGGTTAAAATTTTCTAAACTTTTTTAGATATTTTTTGTTTATATTTCAAAATATATATACATATTACATTGACAAATAAATGAATATAATAAATATAAGAAATACAATAAATAAGTTTATTATATATCAATTTTTTTGTTGTTATTAATAGCACATGAAAAATATCAGTCTAAAAATAATTATTTCCTTGAATCACCATATGATGGACCAATTGCTAGAAAAGTGAAAACTGTTTATGGTGTTATAGATTCTTTCAGGTAATAAATTTGTAAATTTTCAATTTTTAAAATAATATATATATTATTATTAAATTTTATTATACCCACAAGGCAAAGAGAATAAAAAAAATTATAATAATCTTTCTGTATGGAATATAACAACTTTAGATAATTGTTTTAATGTATAATTAAATTAAAAATTTATAAAATATTTCAATTGTAACAAAATTTTAACGAATTATATTAATACAATTAAACTAAAGAATTTTTTAAAATATAAATTCCAATAAATAAATTTTATGTTATAGTTATTTATTTTGATTAATACATACATTAAATAAAAGGAACATGGAATTTTATATAATCCATCAGAATTATGTTTTTATTTATACAAGTAGATAAAGTTATAAAAGGCTAACATAAATAAAAATGTTATTTTTAATTGAAATAACAAGTAGGAAAGTTTCTATTTATCAAGATTATTGTAATTACTCCAAAGATTAACACATTAATGTGTTTTTGGAAATTTTTCTTTTTTATAGAGTACAGATTCTTGCTTTATGTATTTTAATTTATACAGCTGTCTCTTGATAGTCTGACCTTTTGTAATCCGACATGCTCAGTAGTCCGACACACCTCCCGTCAAAGTACCCATCCCCGTTACATGTCTGCTTGCACAGAAGCATGTCGCGACGTGAATCTCTCCACCCAATCCTTACACGATGACCCAATCCTTTCCGTGATCAGTTCTGTTTGAACAGTTGGAGTAGGGAATATTGTAGGCTACTGCTAGCAAAACAATGCCAAATATGTAATCACTTTCGATAATCCGGACACTTTTGGTAATCCAACACCCCTTTGGCCCCATACCTGTCGGATTATCAAGGGACAGCTATATTCTGGAAATACTTTATGATGAATGATAAAGTATTTATAATGTTCTTCACCATTCTGATCCAAAGAATACTGTAGAGAAATTTCATTTAAAAAAAAGCTTGTCCTTGATGGTCAAAGCTTGTTCAAAAAAATTGCAAATAAGAAAAAAATGCTTATTATCATGAGTCTGACTGGTTTCTTTTGTCCCCTTATTGCTTTATATTTTTTGGGGTTTTACACACAAAAATTCTGATTATTATGAGAGGAAATGTTACTCAAAAATTCATAAATTGTGGTATCATTTTTGAGATGAAAATTCAAACAATATTTTTTTAATAAAATTTTATAAATGATTTTTAAAAATAGTTTTTTAGTTTTATAATTTTATCTAATTGTTTTTAATATGTATAATTTCTGAAGAATGTGTTGTTTTTTATTTTTGAAAATATATTAAAATAAATATGAGTTATATACAGTATCTATTATACATACTCATGAATGTTATTTTAATAATTAAATTTTATGAGGATGATTATTGTTATAAAAAAAAATATTACAAAGTTTTATCTATCAAATATTCAATAAAAATTTGTTCAATAAAAATAATTTCAAATTTAAATTTCTTTTCCATTTTCTTAAATCTGATTTTAATATTTTTGTTTGATTTCATAAGCTGATCATTAGACTTGATTGATATTCTTTTTTTGTAAATAGTGTTTAATGGTTTAAATTTAGCAATGTTTTTCCTCTTTTGAAATATTACTTTTTAAACATTAAATATCAAATATGACATAAATACTATAAACATTACATATTAATTTTATGAAATAAGTTTTAAAACATTTTGTAAAACATTTAAATAATGTTTTTATTTAGTTTAATTTTGCAAATGCCTTCATGTAATCTTTATTAATATATCTGTTGGTAGAATAATGATGAGACACTCTGATCTTTGTTTTATATTTTATTCTATAACATTAAGACTTACTTAACTATATACACTATGGCAGGGGTGGCCAACTTTTCTGTACATAAGTTCTATTTTTTACCTTAAAAATGTGTCGTGATCAACTTGTTGTAGGCATAGTCTAAGTGGTGAGGGGGGTGTGAAATACATACTAAGTAAGAATAGGTAAGAACACAGGTAAGAAAAGCCACAATTTAATTTAAAACATGAAGAAAAGATACTTACATTTTAAACAGAAGAAAAATTGAAACTCAACATTGTGACTTTCAGGGACCACCACTTCACCCTTCCTCTCTCTACCATGTCCTGACCTACTCTCTCTGTCTCTCTTCCCACCTTTCTTTTTTTGGTTTTACGATCCTTTGTCTACATTTCTTATTCCCCTTTTACAACTGTACGCAAATGGATTGCACGTGGACTGACAAAACCACATCTGAGGGAGGACGTGGAGGTTCGATATCACTACAGTTGTGTTTGTGCGTTACATTTGGTATAACACATTAAGTCAAGACATTGCAAGCGATTGATCAAAATTGGCTTCGCAATTGACTTGTTGGCCACCCCTGCACTATGGCACACTATAGGACAAGACAAATGCACAAGTCTACACATTGTTAGTCATACATGAAAAAGTGGTCTGACTGGTTTCTTTTGTCCCCTTATCCCTTTATATTTTTTGGGGTTTTACACAGTATTTTCACTTTGTATTCTGCACATAATATATTTATTTTCTTTCCACTAACAATATCTAAGATTCTGTACAGTAATAAAGTTTTGTATAGTAATTTTTTTGAAAAATTTTTAAATTTTATTAAAATGTAAGCATTTATCTAATAACATTACAAATCAACTTATCAGCTGAGCTACGAAATTTTATTAAAAGTTCTGATGTTATCTAATGTGATAAAATTTTGTTTTACCATTATATTCAATCTTTCATTTTTTTTAGGTATTATAGACCAGAGTATCATTCTATAACCCTCACCCATGTTAATCCAATTGTACTGAAAGTAAAGACTCACCATAAAGTCTATAGCATAGATACTGGCATCTTAATAAATCAATCAGCTAAAAGCTGTAGTTATAGACTTCTTTTATATTTAATCTATTCAATATTTATATTTTATTTGTATATAATGAATTTCAATGGCATTAAAATGTGTTCTAATAGAAGTATATCAAGTATATTTAATTTCATATTTTTGCTGTTAAAAAAATGTATTTTAAAGAAATAATTGAAAAAATTATGCTGAATTTATCTATTTATTCTTTTTATTGTTTGATTCTTAATGTGTTGATTTTTACAACAAAAGAAAGAGTAAAATATGACTGTAATTCTTAAAATTATCAATGAAAAATATAGTATTGCATTCAAAAAAAAGAACTTTAATATAATATAAAATTGTACATTAGTTATCTTGAAATAGGAAATATTAATTAAATATTTATAAAAAAAATTATATATTTTGAAAAGCAAAAATTTTTAATTTGTCTAAATTCTTTGTATGTATTTATAGTATTCGTCTGGGTATTTTTTTAAGACGATATCCTATAGCAAGAATTTTTGTGATTTTATACATGGTAAGTTTTTAAATTTGTTTTAAATAATTCTTAAATTTTTTAATATTTACATATAACATATTTAATCTCTTTTAGTTCCTACTGCATTTGTGGGTGATGATAGTTTTATTAACATACACTCCAGAAATCCACAGATCTCAACATAACTCAAATCAAAGATAATTATTACAGACTTTAAAATTATGTAGTTATTTATAGTTTAAAACATCTTAAATATTCTTTAAGAAATCTAAATTATATGCAAAAGTTTATTGTCAGTGTAAATGAAACAATAAATTCAATAATAATTTTAATATTTCTCTTAATATAATTCAAGTATAATTTTATATCAGTCAAGAATTTGTACATTTTTGAATTACAAGAATTGTAAAATTTCTTGTTTAAAATAAATCATATCATATTTTATTATTAACNATTCCGTTTTATATGAATTCCATGTTGTACGAGTCACTTAGATTTTACAAATACGTGAGCCGTTCACAGCCCGGCACACGTATTTGTAAAATCTAAGTGACTCGTACAACACGGAATTCATATAAAACGGAATAATCAACAGTGTTATAGGGGAGTCGACTGTACTCCCAAAGGAAATTACTGGAATAAAAATAAAGTCACACAATGCACACTGCCATATATTCTGCAGCTCCAAAGTTGCTGTTGAAGACATGCAGGACTCCCTCTTGTCCTACTTTTGAGTATGAAATTCTGGGTAAATATATTTTTATTATTTTTGGCCATTCATTATTTTAGACTGGATCAAAATTCATTGTAGACTTGTGTTTTCAAAATGCTACAGCTATTTTTCATTTTTGTTGTACACAAATTACACAAATACATCAGCTGGACAATGTTATATGTATAACAGAAATTTTAAAATCAGCCAAATTAGTTTGCAGGGTTATGTTGAAAGAATGCATCCAGAATTGCTATCAAAATTTGTCTACACCAATGGAAGGAGTCTGACTTGAGGACAGTCACAAAAAAAGAGATGGTTGGGCAAAACAGATGACTTAAAAATATTAAGAATATTCAACTGGAGAATCATTACAGTAGACAGAAAAAGCTGGGAAACTATTGTGTCTGCAGTATAGAACCTCAAAGGTCAGTGCTAGCAAGATGATGATAAGATTTTTCTTGTAATTCATCAAGAAATTGTCACAGGCATGTACTCGGAATTGTTTATGGTGCTGCAGCAAAACTGACTGTTTTGAAACCGAAACCCAAAGCAGTCAATTTTGTTATTTTAAAATAAAAATAAATATAATAATGCATGACTTCAATTAGGCAAGATTGGATAACTAAAGAAATTCTAAGATAATTATGTAACATTCTTGAAAAACAATAAGGAGCACCTACTCAGTGCAATCTACCTTGTGCAGTACTCAATAATCTTAAAATCCTGGATATGCCACTGAATTGTCATTCTGTTGACAAGTCATGGCTCCTTGGTTTGTTTTTGATGTGTAAACAACACTTCATTCATTCATGTACTGTACAAATAACAAGCTGACTGCTTCTTTAATTTCACAAACATCAATTGCTTTTTATTTCTCTGTTCCAGGACTTATAGGAAATTCTGCATTCTTCTTTTGTTCACTTAATTTTGCTTTCAGGAGTAAAATTTGACAACAGGAAATTAACCAGGCACTTATTATTGTGTAGAAAATAATTAGGGGAATTAGAACTGATCACTTAAAACAGGTACAAGACCACCTGGAGGAAAATTGAAACTTTTACTTTGTTAGTTTTTTTCTTTTAAAGCTTTAAGTTTTTATTATACTGCATGTTTATAACTGCACATCAGAATAGGACATCGTGACCTACTTAGAAAGCACCGTTTGGATAGATTAAGAAAGAATAAGAGAAGTTAAAAAGCAAAACTACATTCTGTAGTAAATACTATGTAGTTTTCATGCCGGGCCCTACATATACATTTATCCCATGAATAAAAGAGAAAAAGGTTATATATATTTTACATAATGTATTAATTAAAGCATGATATAAAAGCACTTGTATATATATATATATATATATATAAACGTGTTGTAAATAAAATGAAATTATTTTGATCAATGTCAGTAAATCTTTTAATAAATATCAATAAAATTTAAGTAAATTAAGAGTTCTACAACAGTAGATCGATGTCAAAATTTTTATAATTTCTAATGCTGGTTATTCTCTCATCTGTGAAGATAAGGTGTGGATTACATCTACATAGTTAAAGATGTGTGAGCTCCCGATTGAGACAAGATCACGTGTTGTAATTTTAACGAGGTTAGATCGAGAAATCGAACATTGACGTGAAATGACAAAATAAAGTGGAAACGGGAAAACGGAATATTTCTGGAGGAAAAAATGTTGCGTCAAACTAGTTAAAATTCTTACGTGTCGGAAAGGAAAACATAACGAGCTAAAATGCCAACAAAAGTTTCAAAGTTCTCCAAACATTGCTCGGTCAAAGACGAGGTGTGTCAAATTCTATATCGACTATTGACCTTACAGCTCAAATATATAATATTAAATGAAATTTCGTTAGAATCGAAATTATTTAGATAAACTGACTTTATCTGTCGCTTTTTAAACATAAACTTTACTATATAAAACAAAAATTTATGTAAAATTACTTTTTTGCATGAACCTGGCCTTGCTCCGGTAAAAAACAACAGCAAAGGTTAATAGATCATTTCGTACTTCTAACCCTTCTACTATATTATAGTATTTGATTTATATTTACAAAGGTAGGGTTTCTCAAACGGGATCCCAGTTGTTTTTTAACCCGGGAAATTATCATCTTGGGAAATCCGCAAATTTCTTAAAAATTCACTTTTTTCTTATTTTGTGTTAAGGTTGAGGAAATTTTGCAAATAGAAAGTATAATTAACTCATAAACGGTCAGAATACATATGTATTTATTAATTTTAAATCTACTTATTAGTTTTTTAATTTTTTTCTCGTTATTGCATGTCACAAATGGTCAATAATCAATACGTAGCTTATTTGTGGCAGGACTCTGAAAATTCTTTACTTGTCCGAACCTGTAATATCTGAATAATTGTGCTTACGCTGTCTTAATTTTTAACCATGCCCAGTAGCTTCAATAACTGCAGGTTGTGCAAATTGAGCAAGGATACAAACGAGTACGAAGACTGAAAGTATGAAATTTTTCTTCCTAAACCCGATTATTAAAAACAAACGAACTGCCGAATTATCGGGCTATAAGCTTGATGTTTCTATTAAAGCATCCGAGGTAGATAAATCAAGAATACTAGAAAGCAAAAGAAGTACTACAATTTCGAAAACAAACTAGAAATTTTCCAGACTACAGGTAAAAAACACATAACATTTGTCTTCTCTTAAATGCATTAAGCACAATGCCACTCTCATCAATTGAATGGGAAAGGGCATTCTGAGTAGCAGGACTTTTCATTACTAAAATAAGAACCAGATTGAGTGATTTGAGTATTGATCATCTTTGCTTTTTAAAATCTTATTATAAAAATTTACAATAATATTTTGTATTATGTTTTATTTAAAAAACGAATACTACCTTCTACACACAGCATTATTAATATGATTTTGGAGGTTGCAGAACGTATTAAATTACTTTAAAAAATGAAAAATAATTGTATCATTTGATTTCAAGATATTTTGTATATGTAATTAATTCTATCCCGGGATCCCGGGAAACAGTTCACTTTTATCCCCGAATCCCGGGACAAGCAAAAGACCGGGAAATGAGAAACCCTAGCTGTATCTTTAGATTGACCAAATTCAACTAATCCATATTGCAGGACAAAGAGATGTAGACGAACAGGATATTGAGGAGTTACAGCAGGTTTCTGGTGAGTCTTACCAAAGACGACCTTCAAGAACTGGCAGAACATGGAATTCATGTGAAACTGGAAAATAGAGATTCTGAAAACGTAGAACCCAAAAAATTTTTCTACAGATTTCCTTATTAAAAGTTTGGTAACGATAACCGAAATCGTTGATCAAATTGTAGCGAATGATCTAGATTTTGAAAGGAGTGCAAAAGCAAAACGAGGCGTTTTGGATGCGATCTTCTACCGACATTTGCTAAAGGAAAGAAAAAAGCTACAAATGAAGCTTCACGACTTTATTGCAGAAGAACAATAATTTCAGAAAAGTCAGGACCTTCGTCACAAAAAAATGAACTTTACATTTCTGTGTGCATATGTTTGTGTTATTTAACATTATTATTAATTATTATTATATAAATTAATATAAAAATAACTTAAAGTAAAATTTTTTTATTTTCGGTCGCCTATCCCTATTTAATCTATGTTAAAATGACCTCGTTTAACGCTGTTTCGTTTAGCACTTTGTTGTCTAGGAACGCATCCCCCGTGTTAAGCGGGGTCTTACTGTATTTGAAACGTGATCCCTGTTAAAGAGGTTGTGATAGTTCCTCTTGTGATCGAAGTTGCTAACCTTAACGTCCGAAAGACTTATTCCTTAATCTTGAGAAAAGAGTTTGATAGATGAAAGTCGAGACCATATTTGGAAAGCTTAGAGCGGCAGGCCAAGATTAACTATATACGAACTTCTGGTTTGGAACGGAAGTAACGTTATTTCAATTCATTCCCCTCCAACAGAGTTACATGATCGGCACGACTCTATTGCTAACAGGAAAAGTATGATGTACGAGTAGTGTACACCACCACAAAGTATTGAGAATATTGTAACGAAAAGTTGTAGCCAGGCATTATGACGTCACAATAAATAATTGCTCGTTAGAATTAGTTTGATTTATTTGGTTAGGGCAACAGGGCATGTGGACATTCTGCCAAGAAGGATGCATCTCGGGAAGACTTATGTATAGCTGCCCCTATTTAGGTGTTACTAACGTGAAGTAAACCCGGAAAACGCCACTGACCAGTCCATGCACGAACCCACGACCGATTACCGATGTTTGGTGGTTTTATCCACTCGGTTACTGGAAGGTACTTATTGGACTGCAATTTGAAAAAAATTGTAGACCTATAAATTTCCACTGTCGTCTGTCTGTCGCTGTCCTTCCTTAATCTCGAGAATGGAGTTAGATGAAAATCAAGACCAGACATAGAAATCGTAAAGGACCAGATTACCTATATATGAACTTCCGATTTGTACTGTAAGTCACGTTATTTCAATACAAAAATTTTCCCTCGGACGGAGTTAGATATTAACCGGCACGACTCTATTGCTAACAGGAAAAGTATGATGTATAGGAGCAAAACGCTACTACTATACGCAGGCAAGCGCTGTGCGCTACCTGTCGCAGTAATGGCACATCTATTTCGTCGCAGAGATTCAGTGATATATGTATATATAGAGAGATGTACCATTACTGCGACAGGTAGCACATAGCACTTGCCTGCGTAGATATATATATATATATATATATTTTAAATTATTTCATTTTTTGTAAGAATTATATTTAGTTAACTATTTTGTTAACTTTTTTGCTAATAGACGGCGCTATGTGTAGCTCAGAAAATTCGGATGTAAATAAAAATTAATTGATTTATAAAAATGCAATCAATATTTTGGGATGGAATGTAGGACATGATCCAAGTTAGAAGTATTTGAACGTAACTACTGAGTTTCGCTGCAATTGGTCGAACGGCCTAGGAGTGTATAACGAACCAACAAACAAACATTTTTATTTATATACAGTAAAAGCTGTCTATGGCGACCACCCACGGTTCCTTCAAAAAAGTGGTCTTTTAGACAGGTGGTCGTCCAATACAGGTGGTGCTGTAATACCGTATTTCCGTACGTATTTTGCGCACTTTTTAGCCATTTCTACTATGCAAAACTCGAGGTGAGCAAAAATAAGCGAATTTTTTCATCCATATGGCTATATTGATATTGTATTTTATTCTTATCGGATAACTCGATTTACACGAGTTGTGATTTTATAAGACAGATTTAATATCAATATTTTAAAAATTAATACAATAGTCGCATTTTCTCGATTATAATGCACACTTTTTTCCGACTTAATTCAACTCGGTTGTTTTCGTTCGCTCCTCAGTTACGTGTATTACGTCATCGATATACAAGCGTATGGTATCTTTCCATCACTTTGGTTTTGGTGTTCGTTAGTTTAATCTTACTTTAAAAATACTGTATTTTTTAATATTTTCTTAAGTACAATTAGAAAAACTATTAATCTATACAGTACTAATATTATAAAGAGGTAATGTTTGTAAGTTTGGATGTAGCGGGTAATCTCCGAAACTACTCATCCGATTTCAAAAATTCTTTCACCAATATTTAGAATGGAACTTCAGGGTGGACATAGGCTGTAGATTATTCCGTTAAACATTTATATAAATTAAAACATATCATCTAGGGCTAAGGCTTTTATGTCCAACAGATGGTACGACGCCCTAAGTTTGCTTTCCTGTGAGGCATTATGCTTTTCTGTGAGGATGAACTAAAGCAGTTCATCTTCTATCTATTGATATGGCGGGGTATGCTAGTTAATAATAAAACGATTTTATTATTTTTTCTTATTATACTATTTCATTACATTCCGCGATTGTCATTGCGGAATCGAAAAAGGGAGGTTGCCTGTAAAACTGATTTTTGCATTAATGCGTTTATTGTTTTTTTTTTTGAATATTTTGCGTGCGAAAATTACTTGGATATTATTTTTCTAAAAATATCGTGGAAATAAGGTAGATTGATATAGAAACTATTTATCGCACATGTACTGTATATGAGCTTCAAAATAAATAAATAAATAAATAAATAAAAATAAATTTTATCAAACAATGAGATCAGCCGATTAATTGTATCGTGTACAATATTTTATACCCCCAAGGAAAATACTGTAGGTCTATGGTAAAATCAATTTCGTTTTCCCAGTTAAACTTCGCTGCTAATTGTTGTTGTGATAACTTTAATACGATCTTCTAACGACAGCACTTTGCATTTCGTTTTTCGGACAATTTCGAACAAACTGAAATGAATTTCCTTTGTTGCTAGACTAATTCATTAACACCTGATATATTCGCGGAAGTGGCCGCTTATTACAGTTGTTGTATGTTGTTTCGGACCAAAAATCGATGCCCGCGGTCGCGTTACACGGGTGGTCGTTTAATACAGGTAACTTATACGAAGACTTTATGGATAAACTATTCGGTGCCAAAAATTTTTGCCCGTTTTGACAGGTGCCCGTCGAATGCAGGTGGTGGCCTAAGCAGTTTTCACTGTATTTAAAAAAAAATTTTCCAGCTTTATCACTGGATCGCACATCCAACTTCTCTGTGTTGGCATTTGATTTAAATGAAGAATTTTCGTTTTTTAAAATTACAAAGGATTGTATAACAAATTTGATAAATCCTAATTACCGCTGTTTAGGAGGTTTTTCTGTTAAAAAAAGAAAAAAAACTAATTACAGTATCTAACATTACAGGTTTTGTACGTCACACCATGTTAAAATTATATAATTACGCAATGAAGACATTAATGTTTCTTCGTATTTTCTTTTCCACTTAGCAAAAACTAGACTTACCAGTATTTCCATCTAGTGGCAACGTATCATATTTTTAAAAGATAGACGATCCTTTTTTTAATCTTATTTGCAGTTAGTCACATGGAACATAATCAGGTTACAGATAAAAACTAAACACTCATGGATATTTTTCGTTCTCTCGATTTTAGGAACTATTTCGCAAATAATCCCATTCAAACAACAATAATTGTACTTACTGGTAAGTAAAGATTTCTTTAAACGTTTTACCTTCAAAAATCATTCAATTATAATGAGGAAAATCTTATTTAATTTCAATTTTTTTATCTCAAGTCAGTATCTAAATTTAGAATATACTTTGTACTGAATATATATGCCTTTTAGAAGTTGTTATCTCGATAAATAGACGTCTAATATTTATGTATTAAAAGAATAAATGGTAATTAGGCTATCGTTAAAAGATTACTGTAGTATATTTGTGATGTCTTCTAAATAATGTCTCCAACTCGAAATTATCGAGACGTTTAATGTCATCGAGAGAGGCCCAGTGCTATTTTAGTAAGTTAAATCTAATGTTGAACTAATGTTGCTTTTCTAAAAAATTATTTCGTATTTGATAACGTATCATTCAACACCGGATAATAAAATTTGATTTTGGATATTAACAGAAGTGTTTAAAGAGAATCCTAAAAATCAAACTTATAAACTTCACAAAATTTATAAAATAAACTTTGAAAACAATTTATTAACTTTTAATTATTTTAAAATGATAAACTTCATTCATCACTTTAAAAAAATTATGTACAGGATCAAACGAAAATTTACGTTATAGGACAATAAAATTGTATCATTTGATGAAACATAGTAACGAGAAACGTTAAAATATGTTGATAAAAGGTAGAGCATTCAATGTTTCATGTTTGCATCAATCATTTACGTTTTTTAAATATTCAAAATGGTGAATACTTATATTAATTATTGAAAAATCCACAGAAAATCTGTTGTAAAATGCAAAAAAAAATGATTTTTCTAAATGTCCTTTAAAATAATTTTTGCACAAAAATCGAATATATTCTAACGTTAACAATATTTATTGTAATATTTCAGCAGCTAGCGTTGCTTTATTAAAGAAGTGGTTAGCTGGAAAATCTTGTCATAGTTTTAATAGATTGGATGGTAAAACTGTTATCATTACGGGAGGTAACACAGGAATTGGAAAAGAAACAGCAATAGATCTGTCCAAAAGAGGTTTGTATATTAATATTGTATAAAGCATAATATATAAATTTTAATTATTTTTTTAATTAAAGAATATTTTTGGGTACAAAATGATAATTATATTTTCATTTAAATGTTCTTTATACATTTTCTTTTAATTTTAATTAAATGACATGAATCAATTTATATCTCAATTAAACTCAATATTTTTTATTATCGAATTGAAGTACAGTAATTAATATTAGATAACTAAATAAATAATGTTGTTTATACTTTTCCGATTGTTATAGCCTATATAACAGAGGGAAAGTACGGCGATCGGTCAAAAAAATGACCCCCCAAGTTTTACATTTTTGGACTCAGGACACTTTCAAATGTCGAGAAATGCAAAAATATTCGGGGGTTTATTTCTGTATGTGTGGATGTTAGTGTTGAGGGGCATGATTTTGTTCACTTTGTTTGAAGCTTAATTAATAACGCCTGTGCTTTTTGTCGAAAATTTCTGAAATTGTGCATGGAGGCTTGTTTAAGGGAATTAATGCTATTAAATTTTGGTGGTTAAAGGTCTAGGGGATGGGGAGATAATAGGGGTCGTTTGTATTTCTGATGGGGTCATACTTAAAGACGATTTTACTCGTTATTAGCATTTACAATTTTTTATAAAACCCATCCTTACCCTGAAAGTTAAGTTTTTTGCCGTTTTATAATACCTCGTAGTTAAAAATACATGTTTTTAAAATAAAATATGATAGCAGATGGCGCCACCAAATGTTGCCGGGAAAGTTAAGCAACTCGTTGCTGGATTTTTGCAATGTGTTGGAAGAAGCTTGATTTTTTTTGTTTAAAATAATTTTATTCATCAAAATATTTACCTTCACATTCATTTACACTCTCCCAATGGAGAACAGTTTGAGAATATCATTTTTAACTTTAAAAATTGAGTTATTTCATCTCTTATAGCTGAATATTTGTAAATTGTTTTTCATACATATGATTATCCAAAGATAAAAAAAAAACAAATATGGTAATTTGACAGATTTAGTCAGCAGAATAGGAAAGATGAGCTCCCATCCCAATTGCATTATTCTTGTAATTGCTGTAATGTGTGGGTGAGCGTTATCTTGTAAAAGCAAAAACACCTTGAAGATTCACCAAATATGGCTGTTTTCGTCTTAATTTGTCATGTAATTTGTAGCTGCTCATTGTATACGAATCTGCTGTGAAGATTTGACTAACATTCAAGTACTCGTGATGAAGATTTTTTTTCAGGAATCATTTATAAAAATGATATTTTCAAACTGTCCTCCTGTTTAGAAAGTGAAATGAAATGTGAAGGTAAATATTATGATAAAGAAAATGATTTTAATAAAAAAATACAAGCATTTTTATTCACGTTTCATAAACGACAGTATTCATTTGATTACCTGATATAATGAATGAAGTTAAAGGATAGAAAGATTCACATGCTTTGTTTGCTTATTAAGAATATTAGAAAAATTATATATATATATTCCATATTCCTCGTCATTTTCAGCAGATTCGGCATGTAATCTGTAGAAATTTCTCACGTGAAAAACCCCGTTTTGCAATCATAAAATTATCTTAAGAAACAATTTATTCTGAACATTCTGCTTAATAGAAAAATAAATAAACCTTGGAATTCTTAGGTTAATTTATTGGTTTTTAGGAGAAAATTTTGGATCTAATTAGATAAGTCGTAAGGACAGCAACATTGGGACTAGGAGCAACAATAATGATAATAACCACCTTTACACTTCCATATCCTAGAAATTCCTAGGCTTTACAGAAATGTTCTGTTTCACTTATAGAAAAAATTTAATAAACACAATGAAAAATTTAGTATAGGCCTACAAAAAGTTTTTGTGTTGTATATCATTAATTTTATTATGAAAATTCATCCCTCTGAATACAGATTTAATAAAACCAAAAGTATTTTTTTTAATAATAGAAATATTTTTAGTAAATTGTAGAATAACAACTTTCTTTTAAACATAAAATAACAAATTTTAAAAATTGTTCACTTGATTTTCGTGTTTCTTACAATAATTGACAATACTATTGAGTTCATGAAATATAGCCTCAGAGTGGCTATAAATGACGATGCCCATAGCTTTTGTATTAGTAAAATAAATACTAAAAACATTATAAAATTTAAAAAATTGTGTAAAAAATTAGCATATATTTGAAAAGAGGTCGGAAATTATGAATAAATACAGACACTTTATTTTATAAATATGATTATGTTTTTTCTGTGTAATTGGGTCTTCTTCCATAACTGAAACTAAGCTTTCCATATATAAAAAAATAATTCATTTAGTTGCTTAATTCATTGTAATGTCCGATCTTTACCTAGAATGTTATATTTTTATCTAACTGGATAGAAAATGATGAACTAAAAACTGGATGAATGATACTGTCTTGCAGAGTCTAATGTCTGAAACCTAAATATTAAATTTCAAATAAAAATATTAACCATAATTTAATCTTTTTTTTCAGTTATTCATATGTTATTTGTATCTTAATACTGTAAGTTATATTGAATATTTTTTTAGAATTTTCAATAATAGTAAAATAAAGTATTTTGTGTATTTTAGAGTGAATATAGCTTTAAATAAATCTAGATTATTATATAACAAACAACATCACTAATTATTAGTATTATAGCCGTCTTCTAGCTCGATGACATATGGCATTAGTTGGCTTGTAGTATTACATAATATTTATAATATGAAATAATTAAAACTTGTATGCCTAAGTTTTATTTACGATTTATATACTTGTCACGTTCAAAATCACTTTGTAAAGGAAACCAAAATTGATTTTAATGAACTTTTTAATTCTGAGCGGAAAAATCAATCTTTTTAACCTGTACAGATCTGTTTTCGAGTTTACTATCAAATTAAAAAACACTGATTTTAATAAACTGTTTATTAAGATTTTAAGAATTTAACTGAAAAATTTCTAGGTGCATCAATTATACTCGCCTGTCGAGATGTAAAGAAAGGAAAAGATGCGGTTAAAGATATTCAGTTTATTACCGGAAATATCAATATCAAATTTATGCAACTCGATCTTGCTTCATTCAATTCTATTCGTAGTTTTTCCGAAGAAGTACTGAAATCCGAACCACAAATACATATTCTCATCAATAATGCAGGTAAAGTTTCCTTTCTTGTTTTTCATCAAACTGTATTTCAAATTATTAACATTTAATATTCGCCATTTATTTAATTTTTGATGATATTTGTACAACGTTATATTATATATCTAATTTTCTTTATGATATAGTAATTACTACTTATACAAAAATACAGATATATTTTCTCCATCTTTACCTAATGAATGAACAAAATGAATTATATTTTCTGTAATTTAGTAGCACTTTCACTGTTGTAATAATACTACATAATTAGTCTCGTTCAGTTATTCGGAAATCATATACGAAATATTTGATCGAAATGGCAATCTTATAATAGCAGGACGACTCAACCTGGAAAAAGAAGAAAGTTTCTTGAGAATTCCAAGTGTTCTAAGCAAATTGCCACGATACATTAAGACCAGTATGACATGCTATGTCCTAGATATATTATGACGTCGTGTGCGAGTACAATTACAGAATTTCACAAGATATACGAATTTTTTATTGTTGTTATAATTTGAAATTTAATATATAAAATCAAAATATTTGTATAAACAGGCAGGGTGAACAGTAACTGTTGGTAATAAATTTGAACGCGTATTCAACACCTAAAACCTAAAAGAAAAACCCCAAAAAAACACATAAGAAAAGTGATTTCTTATATTCTTATTATAAGAGACAATTTGCTTATTGTTTTATACGTTCTTATAAATATTTTACCTTCACCTAATGTATCTCTTTCTATTTGATTTTATATTTTCTGAATTACTAAATCAAAATCTTAAATACAAAAGTAATTGCGGATAACTTATTTTATGAATATTCTTCAGGGCTGTTGATATGGGAGAGCTGGGGATTTTTCTCGGGCCTGAAGAAAACGTAGGGGTCCGTAGTGGTGTCTATCATTATAAAATGATTGTTTTTGTTGTCGAAACCGTGTTGTTACAAACAAAAATGATTGTTTACAAACGATCATTTTTGTTTGTAACAAAAATGTATACAAATAAAAATGATTATTATTTTTACTAACAGAATATAAAATCTTTAATACTGCGTTTTATTGATAGGGAAACGTTCCACGTATTTTATCTGTTTAAAAAATAATGACTAAAATGGCCGGGCCATATACAATCTCTCGATGACTCTGACGTTCTCGTAGAGGACGAAAGTTTGTTTGATTTAAAAAAAACAAAATGAAATTATATATAATTAGTAAATCCAATAGGAATCCAATAATTTGATTAATTTCCGGCATTATTGTTGTTGAATTCCTGAAACTTGTCAAGGGTATCTGGCGCACATGTGCAATTCCTATTTTTGTACTCATGAACTAGTGCGAATAAACCGTGAATTCCTAGTTTTTGATCATCACCATAACTTTTGAATTGAGATTAGATAGTATGAGCGTTTGGTAATGTTCTTACATAATAATCTCTACGGTTTTTTTATTCCTCGCTTGGCGAGAAACTCACTACCAGGACCACTTTCGCAAACGCTTGATCATGCAATATAAATCCATACAAATATATAATACCAGCGTTAACGCTGGCATTATATATTTGTATGGCGCTCGCTCTTACTTTTTTAATGTAATGTCTTATTCCATTTTTTTTTGTCATTTCATAATTTCAATTAGGCACTTAACTAGGGATAGAGAGTCTGTATAGAGAGAGTGACCAATTCTTCTGTGGCAGCCACATTTCAGCCAAAACAGTCAAATCTGTTCCAGCGTAGGTGCTATATTTCTACAATTAGCTAATCATAAGGCACAAAAAGTTCTTTTATGATATTCATACGTAGATTTATCGTAAATTAAATCATGTTAATTTACTTGTCAGAGGTTTTTTAATTTTATTATTTGAACGAAGTTAACAAGAAAATTCACTTAATTATTTTTCTCCAATTTCGGTGATTTTTGAATATCGTAGACAACATGAAAAATAAGACACAGAGATAAATCGTATCCGATCCGATATTGCATGTAACCGTTAATTAAACGTTGTTAATTAAATTTAATTTTCGTGAAATTTTTACTGTCAGAAATATCAATAGTGACCGACAGATTATACGAGTATAATGCCTTTTGCGTAATCATTTCAAAATTTCAGCTATTAGCGATCGGTTCAAAATAAAATTTACGAATGAATTTTCTTTTTCCAAATTTCATTTACAAACATTAAAAATCAATCAAAACAAGTTTTACATTAAAAATCAATTGTACAAGTTTTTCTGGTGGATAAGGCAATTTATTTTCTTCCATTTCATTAATATTTTCAATTAGAATGTTAGCCTTTCATTCTCATAAATTTGACATTGAAAATTGTTGTGATACTTTTTCTAGAGTAATAGAAAAGCATTATCACATAATTCATCTGTCTGTAAGGCTTCCGATCTGAACTACAGCCAACTGACTCAGTCGGCGTCGTGTAGTGGGATTAAGGAAGTAATTAGCAACTTAAATCATTACTGATAAAACAACAAACAACATTTAATTACTGGACTAACTTCTACAGACTCACTCAATTCTATATATGAATGATACTTCCGACTTACTGATACAGACATACAATACTTATATGTTAAACTAGGTCTAATTGTACAATGTTCATTTCAGAATCGCACTCTACATCATACCCAAGTTCTAATCTCCGCGGCCCGAAAGATGAGATACTTACTCATAGATGGGAGTCTTGGCCTCGGTACTTACGCGATTTTGCGGAGAAGACAACATCCAGGCGGTTTGAATGGAGGTTGAAGGGTGGAGACGACTGTGGGTCTTTCCTGTCTCGCAGTTTTTAGACTCTGTTTTTTCTAAGTCCTTGGACCAAAATTGGTCGTTGACCTCCTAATCCGAGTGCTTCCCCGTCTGTGACATCAGAAGCGAGGGGCACCATAGGGTTGACGATGAGTCACTCTTTTAAGTTCGAAAAGTCCATCTCCGTCTCTCCATTACTAAGTGGATTTTATCCTCCGAATAACTCATTACTGTAGATTCCATCCGCTGAAATGTATTATTATCCCCCAAGATAGTGAGTCGGCTAGTTCTTCCATTACATTTGAACATTCATAGTGCATGATTCACTCCCGTGTTTACATGTCCCAGGTACTATTTAAAATTTTAAGTCTAGTTATAATTGTGGAACGAGAGAAATGAAAATTTTCTTCTTGAGATGGGAAAAATAGCTTAGTTAATTTTCCTTTATTACATTTAAACACGCAGTTCCATTTAAAATTGTGTAAATATGGACATTTTGAAAAAGGTTTTTGAATAAATCATGCATTTTAATGTAAACTCTGTCTCTGCAATCGGCCGAGAATGTTAGAAGCATATCACTACATTTGTGTCTTTGCGTCAAGCCAAAACAGGACAATCTACCCCGTGAAGCTCAGTTTTCCTAGAAAATGCTTAGTGCATTCTTGCTTAATGAAGTACTTGTCTCTTTAACTTTCTCTGAATACATTCTCTGTCGTTCTTTATCCATTTGTAATGTTTGCCATTATATTGAATACGCTAGGTCAGTTCGTATTTGCATTAGGAAATGATCAAATGGAACAACTTCTAAACATTTTATAGAAACATGTGATAAAATATGGAAAAATTTTCGCATTAATACAGAACAGTGTCTTATTACGAAATGCAAAGAAACTTGATAAATCAATTGTAAGAAGTAACTTTTAAGTGAAGAACATTTGTAATAAGCTGTGATTTTATTATGAAATCTTTTCATTGCTATTAGAGTTCGCTTCTCAATCTTACAATTTGTGAAGTATTTTTTTTTAATAGTGATTATAATCTGTTAAAATTAATTCTCAAATAATTGCAAATCTCTTCTGCAATTTGCAATGCAAGGTTTTATTTTTGAAATCTTAACGTTAAATTCTTTAACGGAGTGTTATACTTCTTGCATTCTGAATAATGTTTGTGATAAAAATATTATTCTTGTGCTGTCAAAATAACAATAATAAATGAACATTTTACTCAATATACTGTGTATTTTCTATAAACAGGGTTAGGAGCTACTCCGTTCCAGAAAACTCAAGAAGGATATGAAATGCAATTCGGTGTAAACCATTTAGGGCATTTTCTTTTGACTTTATTACTTTTGGATCGCATTAAAAATTCAGCTCCTGCACGAATCATTAATGTTTCATCAATGGCTTATAAATGTATGTTGATATCTAATATGTTCTATTTTTAATAACATTAAGAGTTTTATAAATTAAAACATTTTACAATAAACATTTTTAGGATAAATTTTTAAAAATTAACAATATTTTAAGTAGATGTAAAATATGAATGTGCCAATTCGTCCGAAAATGAAGCTTCGTTTTATCCACGTAACATTACAGAAATTTCTTCTGGTTCTAAAAAATATTGTCTATACAAAATTAAGATTGATGAATGAATTCTTTCGTTGGAAGAAATACATTCCTCTCGGAACTTTTATGCAAATGTATGATAAAATAACGATGAAACCGCAATCATATTCATTAAAATTAGCTTATCCATAAACTAAATAGGCTCATTTTTCTATGATAATTAAAATATTATACTGTGCAAGATACTCCGTGTAATTTAGCAGTAAAGAGCGCTCGGCGGTGTCTACTGCTAAATGTCTCGGCGGTGCGTGAGGAGATGGGTTCGCATTTCTGCGAAGGATCTCACTCTCGAGGAAAAAAACTGAATTGCGGAAGACACAGACTTGAAAGTTACATATGGAGGCCGTTTCGGTGCGACTCTGGGAACGACCGAGGCAAGACAGGAAGTGCTACATTGTCGAGAAAGTGTTTATTTATGATGACGAATGAATAAGCGTGAAGAAATTTCATTAAATTTTTCTTAACTCATTAGCCATTCTTATGTTAAAACACAAGCATCTTGTAGACAGCATAATCCAGAGGTGGGCAAGCAAAAGTTCACTGGGAGCCGAAATGTAGGTTTTGCAAAATGCATGGAAGCCACAGTTCTCTACTTTTTTTATTTTGTACCGCAGTTCTGTACCGCGATTTTATTATATAATATAAATATAATATAAAACAAATATTAAATTTTTTTAATAAACATATTTTCACAAAATTGTGGAAATAAAATTGTAAAGATAATAATAAAAAGCAAAAATTAACATTTTCAGCAAGAGTCGCATGTAACTCAAAAAGAGCCGCATTTGCCCATGTCTAGCATAATCTGTATTATTAATAAGGTTTATATTGCATTGTACAGTAGAATGTTGACGAATTGGTGTGATAATCTTACACATGTGCATATTCAAACTGAAAACTGAATATTGTATATTGTGTAGCATTTGTGAGTTTGTTCAATATATTAATATAAAATTAAGATATTATTTTGATTCTTTCATTTCAGATGGAAAGATAAATTTTGACGATTTAAACTCCGAGAAGAATTATAAACCCATACCAGTATATTGTCAGAGTAAATTGGCCAATATTTATTTTACACGCGAATTAGCCAAACGTTTAGAAGGTAATATAAATATTTCAATTATTTCTCTACTTATCACTGATAAAACAAAAATATAATAATAGAGTAATAGCGTAGCTAAGAGAGGACTTTTGTTCTACAGCAACGAAAAGCACTTTTGAAATATATTTTTTTAAATAATGAGGAAAATAAAATATCGATATTTTTTCTGTTTTATTCGGCCTTTCTTCTTAAAAACACGTCTTTAACAGAATATTAGGCAAGTAGCTCTTTCTTTCATACCAGTTCTAGAGAATTGTTTTCAGGATTTATAGAATTTTCATGTCTACATCCTGTACAAGTGATTCATTGAAGTAGGAATATTAAATAATATTTGCATTTCCAATGAGAAAATATAATTTGTTATTAGATATATTATGAATCTTATTAATGTATGGCAGAAAAATAATTTTCAAAATTAAGTTTTAACTCTGAAATAATCTTATTACATCTTATATACGAAAACACTCAAAATTTGAGCGATTGTATCACTCAAATTTTGTAAAAGAAAAGTCTATTATTTCACGAAACCACAAGCTGCACGTTACCTAACAATCCAATTTCTGTGAGAAATTAGATTCGAATATTATGTAGTCCCTATTATTTATTATGATTAATAGTGATCTATTGTTACCATCGGTAGAGAATTTCATCGTTCTCCATACTTCATTCGTGACGACCTCAGTATGAATTAAACCCTCTCCTAAAAAAAGGGCTTAACTGAGACCGATCCAATTGTCTAAAATGCCTCTCGTTAACAAGTGAATCAATAAGCATCGTTACTCAAATGTACAGTACAACAAATGAATTCGCTTTCAAAAAATTCGTCTAATTGAATGTGATTATTTGCTTTTTTAATTTCTTTTCCCCAAGTTCATTAATTAATTAATTAATTAAGATAGATTATTATTTCAATCCCATCATGATTTCCGTAGATTCACAATGGAATGACACCCATGAAAATTTGTAAGGATGAGAACCATATCCATCATATTCTACTATCCGACCATCTTTTTTAGACATGAAATTTTTAAATTTTTAGCTAAAATAATATATTAAAATTATATTATGAAAAAGACGAGCTTGCTAAAATTCATAATTAAGTACAGTACATACAACACATTTAATAAATTATAAATTCATGGCAGGTTATCTAACAGATAGTAGATACTCTATTGTGATGAAGAAACAGATAGTGATGCTTAATTGTGTTATATCAAGGGGAGGTGCTTCTGTGTGTACAATCTGTAATTAGCCATGTAGATATAGGGAATGGTGTTTTAATATGTTTTGTAACTATAGAAATGATATGTACGGCGAGTACATAAGAATGTTGCGCGGTAACTCAAACTCAAACTTTTGTGATTTGTTTAAATTTAATAAGAGGTTTGAATCCTCTAAGAATCCTCTAACTCAAACTAAATAGTTTGAGATAGAGGATTCTTTTTGTTTTGTTCACCTCTTTGATGTATTTAATTATTGTCAAATAAAGTATTCATTCGTTCATTCAAATTATAAATTTAAATTTTTAATATTTGTATGAAAGATTTTTATTATTTTTTTCAGGCACAAATGTAACAACGTATTGTCTTCATCCAGGAGTAGTAGACACTAAATTAGGGCGATATTTAAAAGAATCGTCGGGATTGCATTACAGGATAGCTTTTTATATAGTTTCGAAGTTGTTTTTCAAATCATCAAAACAAGGAGCACAAACGACGATTTATTGCGCTGTTGCCGAGGAACTCGCAAAAGAATCAGGTCATTTTTATGAGTAAGTACAAATCGAAAAATATACCGCTTTAATGTAAATATATATTATAGTATAAGAGTTCCTCAATAAGAACTTTCCATTAAAATTAGTCTATGGGATATGGACTAATTTTAAACGAATTGAAAATTCGCACTAATTCAGTTAATTAAAATCGTATCAACAGGAGTCGTTAATATCATTAACGTCTCCTGTTATTTTTAGTACTAACATTTCTTTTTATTCGTATACTAATGAATACAAATAAAAATATTCTATATTTTTAACACATAAAAGTCAGTTTTGATATAATTCCGTTCTTAAATTGTCCTCCACGAGTCATACTATATGAGATGTTTAAAGATATTCTTGCTTTAAACACTATATGTGGATTTTAAAATATCCAAAAATTCGTTGAAGTCCATACTATAAAAAAAGAACTTTTTAGGTTGTTTCCTTGAATTTAAGCATCAATTATAATTGAGCGGAGCTCTTCATAAGCATGTTTAATAATTGTGGAAAATAAAGAAGTGTAGCATTTTCCCATCAAAAACAGACATAGAAAACATACCAGTAAGTGAAACAGACTGATATGTAGTAACTGCATCATTATGATGTGTACAAACTGTGCACTATATGCATTATTCTGAATAACAACGGTATATTAGCCACTTATGGTCTTATAACCATGTAATATTGATCACGTTTCTCTTGGATTTTGTTTTTTGATATTCAGTATATATTTCCGTATATTCCGTAAAAGTATGTTAAATGTCTATCAAGTTAAACTAAGTCCTTTTTAAAACGAAACTATATGAAAATGAACAAACATCATCATTAAACCCGATATATTTTAAAGCTATACACCAACCAGTGGCATGCAGTGACATTTGATGATAGGGAAGCTGTTTCTGTAAGAAGCCGACTTCCAGGAGCAATCGGTTAATTGCGTCAGTGATGGTCTAGGCCAGCGGTCGGCAACCCAAATGCATTGGCGTGCCATAAAACATATAATTGAAAATACTGGACACTATGCGTGCCACTAAAATAAAATTATAAAATTTATTGCACATTAACACATTTTTATTTAACTATAAAATACACACTATATAAAAATATTATAAAAAATTACAATATTTAAACTTTAGTGACTCCATTGTGATTCAATTTTAGAAGCTAACACATCAATATTTGGTTCATAGTTTGAAGTTTTTAATTTTATGCACAATTGGCGCATATTGTGCTCTAAATGCCAATTCTTGCTTTGATGAAAAACATATAGATATGCGAGGATCCGAATTCGGATGTGTTTATATCATCTCATCATAAGATCACATCGTAGTCCTACTTTCATTCCACGGTGTCATAAGATCACAGTACAGCTATACTTTTGTTCAATAACTGTCAACTGTTACACCTGGGAGTTAAACATCTGTTAAGTTCTCAGGCCTAATAAAGACACTTTCTCATCACCTTTCGACCTAGTATAGCGATTTTAACAATTCAACATTAGACAAGAACAACAAGGTGAGTCAGTCGTCGCCAGTTCTTCCATCGGATTACTTCTACGTAATATCTGTGCTCCTTGGGATACATACCTCTTCGCTTGGAAATATCAAAAATCGTCTAATATCAAGAATCGCCTAATATCAAAGGAAAAGAACTATTGGACTATTGGACTTAACACTACCTTCCCGCACTTTCTGTCTTACCGACTGGATCCAGATCAAGATATCAAAAAAGGTATTTATCGCCACGCGTATGAATTGTAAACTCTCTCTCTCGAGCACGCTCAGTTAACTTTACTTTCGAACTTTACTATCAACGTACTATAAGATATGTATTCCCTATCATTACCCATTAAACATTTGTTACGTTAATCACTTCCGGTGTACTGTCTCTCCTTCTATCTCGACTCTGATCGCTCGTTACCCGACCGCTCGCGTGACATAAATAACGTGGCTTCCGTGTCCGCCGAGACGCGGTGGTGTCATCCTGACAGGGCACCAAAGAGGTGCCGACCCTTCGGTCACAGATATATATCTAAATTAATAGATGTTATTAGCCGTAACTATCTTGTTATAATTTTCAATATTTATTTTATATTATTTACTAATGTTAATAGATTGTCCGTCATTTGTTTTCTAATTAATTCGTTTTACGACCAGGTGGTGCCTACGAAAATTTCCAAAATTTACAACTTTTCGGTCACTCTCATTGAACTGGAAAAATTTCTGCTTTTATTACATTTAATATTATGAAGAAATCAGTCCCCACTGTACTCGGCTTGGGATTGGTTCGGTTAAGCTTTTAAGTAAAATTCCGGCTCTTTCAGCAGGGTTTTATTTATGTCCCTAATTCCATAATCTCTTAATTATTTAACTACTTCTTAAGTAGAAATAAGTCGAAACCGATTACTTTGAACTTGAATATTTGTAGTCTTGGGAAAGAAGTGGAAAGACAAATTTTTATGACAACGGATACATACATAAATCGTAAATTTAAGGAATATAAATTCTATAGCTTTTTCAGTACCTTATGCGTCTCATTCATTAAATTTAGTTAAATGAAGCTGCCAAAGTAACAGTTCATTTTTTTAACATTGTACAAGAATTCTACACGTTTATTCCTGCATCCCCTTGTAGATGGGACATACGAAATCGTAATATCACTAGTTTAACATTGAAATCTGTAATACAAGATGGGAGTGCAGAATAAATATATCAAGTATTTTAATGGATTTTTTTAAAACTCCTGTCAACTATACAGAACTATCATAAAAACATACCTGTAAACTCCTATCGGTTGGATTAGGTTATAAATCTACTCGCAATTCACATAATGGGGCGAGGGTGGCCAAATATGAAGCAGGCAGGCGGGTAACAGCTCTGGATTCATTGGAAGCGTTATATGATATTTCGGTGTGTAACTTCCACCAACTAAACCGCGTGAGGTTGGTATTCTGTAAAGCTCATGCGCGAATGCCTATAACCTGGCTGCTTGAAAGCTGTCCCGTATTCAACAATACAGCGCTTCCATTCCGCCACTGATATTCAAATATACAATAGCAATCTTATCGTTTTTTCACATGTAGAAATTGTAATAAGATACGTTCAAATATAAATACATATTGTGCGATTATTTTCATATTTTAGAAAATACAAGGGAAGCGGCGTTTCCACTGCTTCCAAGGACGACACGCCACTGACACAACCAATGACGAATATTATCGGGCTAGAAACGGCTATAATATTAATGATTTATAAGACAATTTGGCATTAGAGTTAGGCGTTAGGCGCCATCTCTTGATAAGTTTAATAATTATAATTTTAACTAAATAATTTAAATAATTTAAACTACTGGAAGAAAAGTCAAATCGATAGTTATAACGTAAGTTTATAGGCAAGATTCTAGGACAAATGTAGCAAAATTTCGTCCCCCCCAAATTGTAGAGCCCCCCTGTGCGAGCAGAAAAGTCAAAAGGACCATGCCCGTACGGGCGACCCTAAGCGAGATATAGCCCTCCAAAGATGCGCCTACGTCACATCCGGTCACGTGACTCCGAGCCCAAAAGGGACGGCGTCACGTGGCCGAAATTTTTTTTTTCGGTTTTCCCCATCTCAGTGTTGAAAAAAAATCGTCAACTCCCCCTTCCTTAGCCCCCAGCGCGCGTCTCCCCCTGGCACGCGGCCGGCGGCCCGAGTCTCCCGCCTGCAGCCTTCAGGAGTCGCCATCTGTTGCCTGTAAATACAAATATCTATTATTTATTACACCTCTTACCTCAGCCGGGGATCGAACCCCAGTCCCAGCAGGCGCCGATCCACTTCTCTCCTCACCGGCCCGCCAGGTCGCTCTGTAGAAACACTTCGGAACTCATACTTGAGCCATGCTAGGCCGAGGAGCTCACTGCGCATGACGGGCCCTCCGGGCGGCCCCCATCGGCCACACAGATTGAGCGCGCCGCGCCACGCGGCCACCCCCAGCCATTCAGGTGCAGCGGGCCCGTCGCGCGGCCAATG